ATTAGCCTGTACAGGTCTGATAACTGCATCCCCCACACCCTGCGATTAAATTGATTTGAAGTACAAAGATGATTCGGTGGCCTTTAACTCCACTCGTTTGTGGGAAGACACTTACAAGGAGGCGGTTATTACGGCAACACGTGAGGAATACGTCGGATTCATTTAGCTGCTGAAATACGTCAAAAAGCAGAGACGGCTGGAGGCAGAGAGAGTTGGAACTGCTGTTTATTAAAGCATCCATCCATCCATTTTCTATACACTGGGGTCATGTGGGGCTGGAGTCTATCCCAGCTGACTCAGGGTGAAGGCAGGTTCACCTGGACAGGTAACCAGTCTATCACAGGGCTACACTTAGAGACAGACAACCAAGCACACTCACATTCACACCTACGGACAATTTACAATCACCAATTAACCTCAACATGTTTCTGGACTGTGGGAGGAAGCCGGAGAGAACCTACGCTGCACGGGGAGAACATGCAAACTCCACGCAGAAAGATTCCGGTGCCCCCACCGGGACGCGAACCGGCAACCTTCTTGCTGCGAGGCAACGGTGCTAACCACCTCTCCACCCTGCAGAAAACAAATAAATAAAAATAAAGTTAAAATAAGGAGAGATATGAAGTAAAGCAGGATTCCGTCCTGAAGGCCAGGTCATCACATCTGAACACCAGCTTAGCTCTGAATAATCTGGTACGAGCTGTTTACCCGTTAATAAGAAATGATGCTTTTAATTCCAAGTCTGTCCTTAAAAATCCCCCTCTTGCATCTCAGCCGGTCGTGTTCAGCCAAAAAGCCGCAAGGTTTTGCGAGACGCCGGCGAATCGACCTCCTTCCATTCACAAACACGGGTTATCGCGCGCCATTTACCGAGTGCTTTTAGTAGCCATTCAGGGTGTTTGCTTTTAAAAATTGGGGTCACCTGGAGTGCAGGTTTTTTTTCTCTCTCTCTCCAGGTGTGTGTGTGTGTTTGCGGCTTTTTTTCTTAAACACACATCCTATTAGAGTCTGTCTGAGGCCTGAAGGCCCGCTGGTAGATGAGCACCACACAGTTCAATCAAAGTGTCGAAAGGACAAATCCTCTCATCGCCGTGTGTCGTTAGCACACAATAGCGTGCAGACGTTCGGCAAAGAGAGCAACCCCGAGAAGTGCTGCTCCCTCGTTCTACCTGTGGAGGGAAATGACGCCGACAAATTTGGCAGCGTGGGCCGCCATGTTCCCTTTGTATTGATTAGAGGATTAACTGTGTTTAGTTTTGACTCAAGTCACCGTGGAGGAGGAGTGTGTCGCTAATCACTTAGCGTCAAGGCATTAGCGCTTGCAGCTGTGGGTTCGATTGTGGTAAACGGCTGCAATGCGTCCCCCGAGACCCTGTGGGACTGATGGTCGGCCCGGTTCATTTCTCCACCGACCCGCCCTCCCCTCCGGTCCCTCCTCCACCTCTCATAGCCGACAATATTTGCAAGAAGCAGGAAGCGCATCCATCCATCCGTTTCCCTTTAATGACTCCGAGGCATGTCTCAAGCTGTCGGTGCACGGACCCCATTCTGCTAGGACGGTGTCAGCGTCGCATCTCCTGCCGGTGATTGGATGAGCTATAGCTGTGGGTTGAGGATGGGGTTAATATGTAGGCGGCACCCCTCGGAGATACTGCGGCGATTACTGGAGGTGGACGCTCCTTTAATGCTCTCATCACTCCTGGTGAGAAACCATTCCGTCCCACACACACGAGTGGCGTCGCGGCTTCGAGGTGTCATTAACCCGCGGCTCGGCCACGCTGACTGATGGGAAGACGCTCCATCTCGCACGCAGGTGATGGCGGAGGTCGCCGGCAAATGAGACGCCATCAGACCAAATTGTGATGTTGGGTTGTCTGCCGCTGGTCATGAAGTGTGCTTTTGCTTCTTCGCAGCTGGAATGCTTTGTGCTCTCACAAGAGGAAAAAAAAAACTTTTGATAATGCCGAACAGAACCTTGAGGTCAGGCCGACACTGCTAAGTAGTGGCGGTGAGTGGCGTGAATGGAGCGTCAAGGATTAAAAGGTCAATGGGGCTCCTAAGCTGTGAGAAGACGGAATATAAAGTTGAGGACGAGCCCGTTCAATCCTCCAGACTCCCCATTAGCTGTCACGCATCGTGCTCAAATAGCGTTCTAGCCTGTATTACACATTTATTGGGGTTATGCACTTGTCCCAAGTAGGAACAAGAGATTAGCTTTTTTTCATCAACATCTTTTTTTCGCCGTTCACGATGTCCTGCTAAAAAAAAAAGTGTAGAAGTTGTTGCTAATTGTTTTGCACCTGCATGACAACAGATTGCTCCTCCCACAGCCTCCACAGGTTCGTCTCCCTCAGCTCTACATCCAGGAGCCAAAGCGATGACAAACACAAATCATGTTTCCTCGTTTGAAATTCGTCGTACAGCAGCGTCAGCGAGATGTGCATTCCCAAAATGACTCGGTTTGGCATTTAAAGTTGAGATGCAGTATCGCTTTACCCCTCACTGTTGTGACAAACTCATGCATATTCATCATGTCCTAATAGACTAATGTGTTCCCTGTAAATGATCTCCTCTGACTGTACCGGGGCTGTTCGTCGTGCTTTCTGGGCTGATGCTCATGAATATGCATCCCTGTGGTGTTAGCATGTGTTCCCAGGTCTGGCTGGATTTCTGCTGCTGCCCACCGTCCTGAAAAACATAATTACTTAACCTGAGCTCAAAAAAAAATCAAGTTTGCTCCTTTGTTTTACTCACAGTGTTGCTAAGAGTCCACTTATAGTTTTACCTTTAACTAATTATCCGTCACTACGTTTAGCTGTTCCACCGTTCTGTTCGTTGTTCGAAGCCTCTTATTTCAATAGTTTTTATTTTAATGCTTCAACAGTCTTTTCATGACTTACAGAAGTTTTGGCCTTTATCCGTTGCAGAGAGATGATTATTTAAAATATTTTATCTAACTGTTTTAATTACCTTCAGCTGTTTCAACCTTTTATTTATTACATAAAGGAAACTATTTGAATTGTTTAGCTGTTACTTCTAGCTAACATTTTCCATCATTTATCGATCACGTTTAACAAACTATGTTTATTATTTTACTTTTAACTGACTTCACTCATCCACACATTACTTTGATTTATTACTAAAAGCTATTTATATATTATTATAGATTATATAGTCTAATAGTTAGTCTATTTGGTTTTTTGAGCACTGAAAACAAAAACAAATAGACTCAGAAACAGTTTCTGTGCAGATGCCGTATATGTGCACAAAACAATTTAATGGGTTTTATTGAATGGTTTTATGAATGTTTTTTAATGAATATTTTATCTTGATCTTTATCTAGTCTTACATGTTTTTGTTGATTGTTTTGTTTTGATGTTATTTTATTATTTGTTGTTTATTTACTTTGCACCTAAGGATGGCACTTTTAATTTCGTTGTTCTCATACGATGACAATAAAGACGTTCTGATTCGTATATTTTCAGTAAACGGTTATTTTTAGCTAATTTAGTCGTATTTACTTTGATCCAACTATTTTATGTCGTCATTACTATCAGCTGCTTCACACACAGTTTGACTTTCATCCTTCTCTTTATTGTTGATCCGTCACTTTTAGCTCATTATACCAACTGCTGGTTATTTAAGCTGTAATTTATTAATCACTCATTCATTGCTTATTGCTTTTCATGCTCTAAGATACTTGTTTGAATTGTTTTCCGTTGCTTTTAGCTATTCCAGCGTTGTTCTTTATTGTTTTTGTTCACGTTCAGCTAACTTTGCCGTTTATTCTTTGCTTTTTTCTGTCTATTTCAACCACTTACCCGTTACTTCTCGCTGTTTTATGGTTTCAACCTTTTATTATTTGTCCAACACTCCCATTTAACCTTTATTTTTTAGCATCGTATTTTGATTTCTCTGCTCGTTTGGTGTCCGTCTCAGGTTAGCTGAAGCTTCAGTTTGTTTTTGTGAACATAAATGCACCGATGATCACTGAGATGCTCGTGTTTGGATGTTTATTGTAATCTCGAGCATTATTCTCTCAAAATAGATTTTCTATTCAGATTCAACTTCTCAACAGTCTTTCCACAGGCCCTGGGCTACTTCAGCCGTCCCCTCCTGGGCTCCAGGCTCCTCTGGTTAGAAACAACAGCTCTGGAGCATTAATCAGATTTAAAGTGCGGTAAAAGCAGACTTAAATAGTACGGAAGTGATGAAATTCAAATCAAATCACAGTTGCATTTGTTATACAACAACAAAGTGTTCTTTTTGTTGTTGCATTAAAAGAGTACGACGTCTGGTGACATTTGTTTTTGTCGTGGGCTGTTTGGAAATACACATTTTGTCAAGAGGCTTTTACAAGCATTCAGCGAATAACTGAAGTGGTCTGTAACAATGATTGCTTGATTAGGCCTCAGTAACGGTCTACTTTCTTTAGTTTTCCTTGAAAGCTTTCACTGAATGGAGAGTGATTATTGTTTATGCACTTCGTTCCTCGTTAAACCCAATATTCTGTGTGTTTTTTAAAGGGATGCTTGAGAGGACTTCAAATTATAGCTTTGCTTTGTCATTACCACTCCATAAATTTGAACTCGACATTTAGAAAAAAGGACAAAAATGCAATTTGTTGCTTTTTTGGGCCCAAATCAAAACCTCCAAGATGGATTTAGTACCTCCAGTTGTTTGTCTGGACTCTTTTTCTTCGTCTTGTTTTGACTATAAGATGCTAAACAAATGGCTGCACAGCGCCACACACAACCTGAGGGCTGCTGCTCAGTTATGACCCTTAATCAGCCCTTCAGCTTGTGAACTTTGTTTTGACTCGGCCCACAGTGTTGTGCTGCCGGCGCAGTGGCAGTCATTGATCAAGCGTGGCACTGTGCTTTGAAACCTGCGGGGAATGTTTGAAGGAAGAAAAGAACAAAAGAAAGCAAAGGAGTAGCGGGGGAGATTAGTAAAATGAGAACGTCTCATGAACTGAGTCTGGAGGAGCTGCGCTAATAATGTGTGTACCTGTCTGTGTGTGTGTGTGTGTGTGTGTGTGTGACCGGTTTATCAGCTGGAATTAAACTGAGGATGCTCCAGTGTGTTTGGACAGGCGGTGTTTTACTCACTTCTTGTTTTCTGTCTCCACAGTGAACAAACACAAGCCGTGGATTGAGACGTCGTACCACGGCGTGATCACTGAAAACACTGACGTCGTTCTGCTGGATCCTCCTCTGGTGGCCCTGGACAAAGACGCCCCCATTCCTTACGCAGGTACGCTACATTTCAACATTAACGCCTGTCAGCTGAGGACGCTCATAACAACGGGGGTAAAGACGGAATATCTCAGACCAAAGGGAGGCAGCCGACGATGACTCAGGTGTTAATCCACACGGGGAAGCGTAGCTGCAGGATATACTTACACTAAGGATATAAACCATATAAAGCTGTCATGTGATATCACTGTGAAGGGGCTTAAATTGGCTTCACTATAACTGCTGCATCACAGCTTTTTTTCTGTGTTAACCCTGCTCTGTGCTGCAACCATTTAATCCAGTAATTCCCACTGAACGTACATTGCATCCAGCGCTCATATTTCATATTTATTTAGAGTGGAAAGGGGCCCAAATAAGCCCCACGGTAGCTGAGGACACTGCAACGAAAAAAACAGTCAAACCGGATTAGATTCTTCCCACTTTGTGACCATTCCAGCTCATCTAAAGGGTGCCAGCTCTTGTGGGAGGACGTTAGCTGGAGGCTGTTGGCGAGCCCGGCCAGCCCATCTCCCGCTAGGCTGCTAATGTGGCCAAGGCCTTAGCATGGGGCTGTTGCACAGGGCTGAAGCCCACTCACAGAGACCCTCAAGCTGAGCTGGATGGATGGATGGACGGACGGAGAGGAGTGTGTGTGTGTGCGTGCTTACTAAAACAGTTTTTTTTCATTGTTTGCTGCTGCTGCTGTGTGTGTGTGTGTGTGTGTGTGTGTGTGTGTGTGTGTGCCGCGGCATGGCCTGAGGGGACTCACTGTAATGGCCACCCTACAGGGAGAAAGAGAGGAAATGATGAGACAGTAGGGAGGGTAGCTGGCTGACCAGCATATGTCCTCTGGCTCTCGATAGACTGATAGCCACACACACACACACACACACACACACACACATATGCACATGCACAGAAGGCAGAGCACATGGGCATTCCTAGATTTCATAAGTGAGGGTAGTGGGAGAGATTTCTCACTAAATTATTAATAAACAGGACCAGCAACATCACCAGTCTCTCTATCGCTTCTCTCCTGCCACACTCTCCTCTTCCTCCTCCTCCTCCTCCTCCTCTCATCACCACTTCCCACATATTTGCCTCTGCACCTCCGAGCAGCCCCAACAAACCCACACCGGCGCCGCTGCAGCAGCCTCCCTCTCGCTCTCCACACCTCTACAGGAGCCGTGTCCAGGCACAGTTCAGGGCAGAGACAGTTATCGAGTCATTAGCTGAAGCGAATCCTCCTTTCTTCGAGCAAATTGCCAGGGTGGAGTGGCAGGTCAGTGCACAGGTAGCGGTTAAGCCTCATTAATTAGGCCCGCCAGCTTTTAATTACCGCACATCTAAGACTCTGACACTGAGTGCCTGACTGACGACTGTCACCCGGCTGAACTGGGCTCATAAAACCACCACCTGCTTCTGCACATTCACACTGTACACATTTGAAAAGTGGGGTTTTTATACACTTTCATATCCAGCAATCACTCTCATCTAAAATAGACGTTAACATAAAAATCCCAATGTAGGAATTTTCCATCAATTTAAAAAAAGCACCTCACGACTCCACGATTACTTCGGCGGGAAATTACCACTAAGCCCGCAGTCTGTCCCTGCTAGTCCGTTACATCGCTCCAAACCCGTCCGGTAATCCTCTCGGACTGCCGAGCAGGGTGCTGCAGCCGCCACACTCACTGGGCTGGAACAACAGGAAATGTGGCAGCGCTGTGTGTCTGAAAGCCGGCGCAGACTGACATCAGCCGTCGCTGTGGCACTACAGCAGCTCACAAGCTTCAAAATCACAGAGACAGGATGTCAGGAAGAGTGAAACGCACAGGTACAGACACTCATTGTTTTATGCATGGCTGTGTCTGACAAAGCGCAGTTGTTTTGCCGTAACAAGCAAAGAAAAATAAGGAAGGTACAAACAGCCATATTCTGCAGACAACAAGGAAGAGCACTTTGATGCACATCTTCAGCCTTCTGCTCTCTCCAGGACTGCCTCTGAGCTGCACATGAACAAAATGTGTGTGGAGCATCTGCTTCTGTCGAGTCTGTCACAACACAACACAGATTTTATTAGTTGACATGTGCCCACACAAACTCAGTCGATCATCAGCTCGATTTTGTTTTTTTCGTTCCAGTTACAACTATACGTTGAGTGATGCTGATGGAAAAGTGAAACCGAGGCGATGCTTCAACTTGGGATCTGCGTCTGACAATTTCTGTAACTTTCCGAACTTGACTATCTGACTATCTGTCACAGGCGCTGGAAAACTTTGCTCCCAGACACTCTTCTTTTTTTTTGTTTTTCATTCTTTACTATTTCTGTCACTTTCCCTCCTCACAAACATGTGCAACGCCGTCGACACCTTCCAAACAATTTCAACAGTTTACAGCAATAAGACACGAGTGAATGGCAAAGTTTATTTTGAGCAACTCCTTTGCTTTCTCCACAGAAAGAACACACGAGTGCTCATTTGTTATTGAATGTTGGTAATAGTAAAGAATAATGGCCTGGAGTATATGTGTAATTATGGACTAGATGGGGTGCAGTTGCCCCGTTGATAATATCTTTTAATTGGCGACGGGTTTTTTTTTGCAAAGTAAAAAGTTATTGAATCAGAGCCACAGCGCTTCTATAGGAGGTGAGAACACACCCATTCCAGATGTTATCATAGCTTTAGATTAGCGTTATTATCTCAAATCATTCCTGTAGATATGGGCCAGTAGGGACGTCTTCAGCCCATTTACTTCTTAATCACCTGGTTTATTGAGACTGCAGCCGTAATTTTGTGCTCACAAAGTCTCCGGACTTTTGGACTTGAGTCCTTGTCCCATCGTGGACCAACACTTTCTGACTTAGGCCCCATTTTGACCTTCTGCTGCTTCATGTCTACCTGTTTTCACTGGATGACGGTCAGGGTGAGGCACCAGAACTACCGGGTTCATCCTCAAATACAGCCTGTTGCCAGTTTACTGCATGTTCACTGGAGATCTCACATGCACTTGTTCACGTGACTGCAAGAGGCTGCCTGTGTGTCAGGGTTACTTTCTGTTTATCAGCGATTTGGTGGACGAGGTCCCTCCTGGCCTGTATGTATGGGGATGATGGTAGGAGCCATTCAGTGGGCTAGATCATCCATCCATCCATCCATCCATCCATCCGCTTATCTGGAGTCGGGTCTCAAGGGCAGTAGGCGGAGCAGGTCGTCCCAGACCTCCCTCCCCTCGGCGACACTTTCCAGCTCTGCCTGGGGGATCCCGAGGCGTTCCCAGGCCAGCCAAGATATAATCCCTCCAGCGGGTTCTGGGTCTGCCCCGGGGTCTCCTCCCAGGTGGACGTGTTCGGAAAACCTCCAGAGGAAGCCTCCCCGGAGGCATCCGAACCAGATGTCCATACCATCTCAACTGGCTAAATCAGGCAGCAAAAAAGCATTTCACACCTGCTAATGTGACAAGATGCTATGAAGACAGATTCAAAATGATCCACATGTGACGGCTGAAGTTCATCCACTGATCTTTAGATGAGGTCAGAGTGGTTCCACCTGCAGTTGTTGAAATGATGTTGGACAAAAAAATATATATATACAGAACAAATATCAGTGAATAACCCTTACAGTCGATGTATTCTATTTTGCTAATTCCATCTGTAAAATCACTTTGGTTTGTGTAGAAACGAGCTCACTCCATCGTCCAGAAGTCCATCAGGTTATTGAACTGAAGTGGCTTTTTTCAGGTGACTCCTGCCGCGCTTCTGCTGAAGTGCCGGGTTAGCAAGGTTAATGTGCAAAAGCTGTGCCGAGCGCCGCTGTTTGACACGGGTTAGCTGGTTGTCAGTTACTCCTGGCTTTCTATTGCCGGCATACACAGAAACTGACACCTATGCATTTTCTCGTGGCGTAACGCACCATTCATGTGTCAATCCTTCACTTTCACTGGTCCCCGGGGCCCTGCGGCTTTTGCTTGGACGCCAAGCAAATGTCTCACCAGTGACCCACAAAACGCATACGCTGCTCAATCAACGGCGCTGTCAGCTTAGACAGGTCCACAAAGCCCCCAAACGCTGGGCGCACACACACATCCACGCTGCATAAATGATACGTTCCACACTTTCTGTTTGCTCTAATGTAACGTATGCAACTTGCCATTTCTCAGACGCTAAACAAGGCATGGGTTTGCTCCTCGCTGCCGTCTGCGCTCTGCAGGCATTCACAGCAAAAAAGAAATGAGACGAGCAGCAGGAATCAGCCTGTTTCTGCCGTCTCATGTGATGTCTGAACAGTGCTTCTGAATTCTAATTTTACTGCATTACCAAACTGTACCTCTCAAGATATTAATAAAAATCAATTATCTCTGACCTTGGGAGAATCCGGCAGCTTCCCATTACTCTAAAAACGCCCGGCGATAACGTATCGTCTCTCACCATAAAGCAAGGTAAATAGATATGAGTAAACATACAGGCTGACTAATACGCTGTGATTAATTATCCTCTCACTGTCTGTCTGATTGGGAAACAGATCTCGAGCTAATTATGAAAAGTATCTCATTAGGACGGTAGCAGCAGCTCAGCGCTGTGTGTAGGTGGAGAAGCATGAGTGTGTTTATTAGCAACAAAGGAATAAGACGGGTTTGTTTGAAAGTGGAAATATGTTGTGTGACTCAGCTGGAATAAATGTGTGAAAGGGAGATAAATCACGTAATGAACAGAGAGAATAAAGGTCAGGTCTGCAGTCAATGCATCTCTTTGTAAAAGATGATGGCTTACTATAAAACGCTTTGAAGTAAGTCTTTAAACATGCACATGCTGAGAGGCCAAATCAAACCACTGCTGATTTAATATGAATATAGAACTTAGCAGATGAAGTATCTTCCTCCTACTTGACTCCGTCACCTGCTGTGGTTGTCACTGAGTACGTGGATTGTTCCCTGCTCATTGATCCTTGATCTGGATTGACCCGGGAATCATTCTGGTCCTTTAACTTCAAGGCTGTCCCAAAGCTTTTATTTCTGCTCTGC